ACTGACCCCAACCCAAAGCTGCTGACCCGAGCCTTTGGAACAGGACCAGGTCTCCCTTCAGGGGCTTTGGTAGTTTAGGATTAAAAGTTTTGCCAATAATAGGCTAATCATCTAGATTTGCCTCTGTTGAGCTAGCTGAGCTGCCACCTTTAAAGACTTTAAGAAAATGCATTTTGTGAAACTTCCCTTTCCTGACCTTTTTGTGCATCCTGTCCATTGGGCACGTCACCTCTCATATAACCACCCAACCATTTGTCACTCACTTGCCTCTCTCTGGATACTGCTTTCCTTCATAGCCAGTTACCTTCATATTGCCACATGTTTGCAAATGTTCCATGTTCCCTCTCCCCACACCCATGGTGTAGTTTTGCCCTTGTAATCTTTTTTCCATCCTTTCTTTCTGGGACTTTTTCTAGACATAAGGGTGACTTTCTTGATTTCTTGTCCCTTTTCTGTCTTTCTCTTCAGCTGCATTTCCTCTGGGGGCCTCTGGGATGCAGCTGGCATCTCAGAGTGGTGAACTGATACAGGGGAGGATGCTTGCTACTTGGATATTTTAACATTCTTGTCATTGCCAAGTGGAAACACTAAACAGCTTTGTCTTGAATGATTCTCGTGTATGGATAAGAGTGTTATGATGCTCCACTCACCTTAGTTCCTTGGGGCAGTAATGGTGGTGGGAAGCTCCCTGTACTTCCTCGGCTAAAGATTGTACTGACTTGATGGCATTTAGGAAGTGTATCTAGCTAAGCTAGTGTGGCAAGCTCCAGGAAGCCCTTCCTTAGGGATCTCTGTTGTCTGTGACCTCATTCAGGTGCTATTCCCATTTTCCTGGCTAACTTCTGAGTGTACTGGCTGGTTAATTATTTGGAAAACTTAGCAGTTGTTTCATTAGCCAGGAAAGCAGCATCAGTATATTCTTCCTAATCTCAGAAAATTGTTTGAACTGCTTTGTGGGTTTGTTGGGGTAACATGCGCATACTCATTGCACACCAAACTTCGGTAACTCAAGGTTGCTCAGTGAAGCTCATCTCTTAAATTGCAGGGCAGCAGCATTGTAGTTAAAGCACAGAAGTGTCTGTTAACTAGTAATTCAGTTTCTCGGCTCTTTTGAAGCTAGAATTCAAATAGCAGAAATCCAATGCAAAGAGTTAACAGGCGACCTTTGACCTTGCTTCAACAAACTGTGGAGGTGCAGATATGAAGAGAAG